AGTATATTTACAAGGGTCACGATGAACAAGTTGTTCATATCGATCTAGAGGAAGAAAGGGTCGTTATTAACGAAATTAGAAGGTTCCAAGATGCACGTTATGTCTCCCCTCCCGAGGCGATATGGTGAAATTTTAGCTTCACACTTTCTTAAATGCACCCTTACATGATGGCATTGTAACTCCATCTCCCTAACAAACAAATGGTCAGGTTTAGAGGTGACTATATAATGACATATATTGTTGATTGAGAGAGAGATAAGCGAACGATGTTGACTATATTTTTTGATAGGAATAGAACATACATGAGTGCGAGACAATATTTGTACAAAGATTTTCCAAAACACAACACATGGAATTGGAGTACACTTCGATGGAATCCCCGACAAAGAGGATCAATGAAAGGCCGACTTGTGTCTGCAAACCAGCGGAAGGAGAGTGGTTCTATCTACGCCTACTTTTGTCTCGTATTACTAGGCCTACTTGCTTTAAAGATATATACAGTTTCAACGGCTTATTGCACCATACATTTCGTAAAGCATCTATTGAGAGAGGGTTAATAGAGAACGATGACAACTTATCCCAATGATTTGGAGAGGCCTCCATATTTCAATTTTCGGTTGCTCTTAGGAGGTTATTTTCCACGATGTTGATTTATTGTGAGCCAGGAGATGTTCGCAACTTATGGGATGACCACTAGGATTCACTTTCTGAAGATTATACGCGACAATGTGAAAGTGCTATTCGAGTCCGTAATATGGTTCTAACTGATATCCTCGTTTTTCTATAGTCTATAGGTAAGAGTCTTGATGATTTCGATCTTCCAATGGTAGATGAAAATTCTAAGTTTCAATCTGGAGAATTTCATGAGGTACAATAGGAATGTTCTATAGTTGTGGAAGACGAACACTTGCGTGCCCAAGACTCTGAATTCCGACCCAAAATATGCATATGATGAGATCATGAGGCACGTAGACGAGGATTGTCCAGGAGTGTTCTTTATAGATGGTCCGGGTGGAACCGGAAAGACATTTTTGTACAAAGCTTTGCTTGCCAACATCCGTTCACGTGGTCTTATTGCTCTCACAACCGCTTCGTCGGGTGTTGTTGCCAATAATATGCCTGGAGGGAGAACACCTCACTCTAGATTTCCAAATTCCTCTCAACCTTGATAATAACTCAATGTGCAACATAAAAGAACAAAGTGGGGGTGCTCAATTGATTCAAGATGCAAAAATAATCATCTCGGACGAAACGTCGATGGCAAAGAAGCAAGCAATGGAGGCGCTCGATCGAACAATGCAAGACATCATAGGGGTAGCACTCCCATTCGGCGGAAAGATAATGGTTTTACGGGGGTGATTTTAGACAAGTATTATCGATCGTGAGGCGTGGAACCCGACCACAGATTGTAGATTCTAGCTTACGGATGTCACCTCTTTGGTCAACGATAAAAAGATACGGTTAACGCTCAAAATGAGAGCACGATCCGTGGTTTTCAGAATTTTTATTAAGAGTCGGTGATGGAGATGAAGAAGCGGTGGAAGAGAACTTTATTCGCATACCGGATGACTTAACCATTCCCTATACTGATAAAGGTAAGTCAAAAGATGTGTTGATTGACGCAATCTTTCCATCTATGCAAATCAACGGAGCTGATTCAAATTATAACATTTCGAGGACGATATTATCAACTAAAAATGAGAATGTCGATAAGATTAATGATCAGTTGATCAACAAGTTTTCTGGAGATGAAAAAATACACTACAGATTTGACGAAGCAGAAGATGATAAGAACAACATCTATCCGATGGAGTTCTTAAACTCTTTAGCTGTTAGTGGTTTGCCTCCTCATTACCTTTGTCTCAAGATTGGATGCCCAATAATATTGTTACAAAATATCGATCCCTCAAATTGATTGTGTAATGGCAGTAGATTGATATGCAGAGACTTTCAACAGAACGTCATTGATACAGAAATAGTTGTTGGTCAACATGTTGGAAGGAGAGTATTTCTACCGAGAATTCCTTTATGTCCGTCCGAAGACAACATGTTCCCATTTAAGCTGAAGAGAAAACAGTTCCCAATTCGGCTTAGCTTTTCTATGACAATCAGTAAAGCTCAAGGCCAAACAATTCCGAATGTAGGTGTTTATCTACCGGAATCAGTTTTCTCACACGGGCAACTTTATGTGGCGTTGTCCAGAGGGCTATCACGAGGCAATACGAAGGTGTTAGTGGAGCCTGTTAAAAAATTCAATCGTGCCGGAGTCTACACCTCAAACGTCGTCTATCAAGAAGTTTTACATGATAAATAAGGTATAATCAACAATTATATTATTACACATTTGTTACCATATGTTTCGATTAAAAGCCAGTGCGTCGTTTTTTACAGGAAATATTTATGGATGAGTGTATCACGAAAAACAAACAACAGTTTGGATATATAGATGAACATTATTTACAAACGATTGTATTTCTTTGTTCAGTCTAGAATTTTTCAAGTTTTGTAATGAGCTCTGAGTAGATAGGTTTAAATATATATATATATATATAAGGTATATTTCTTTTACAACCTTGTGTATTTGTATAACATTTGTAACCCAATTAATTGAGATATTTATAGAAATGATGGGAGTTCATTTATTGTGATTTAAATATTTATGGAATATGAATAAAGTTCATTAATTATAATTAATATTTTATATTAGGAAACAATATATATATATATATATATATATATCTATATAGGGGAGCGATCAAATGCAAACCACTCAATTTGTACAAACCGTGCAAACCGCATTCAACCAATCATAATTTTTCATTTTGTTCATTTTTTTGTAATTATGAGAGGTTGATTAATCATTTTTATTGTGGAGTGTGTTAATCATAGATATTATCATCTTCATWATTTTAATTTTAGAGAAATACATGAAACAGTTTCATTAATGTTAGAGAAATACATGAAACAGTTTCATTAATGTTAGAGAAATACATGAAACAGTTTCATTAAGTATTATATGAAACAATTTCACAACCATATATGAAACAACTTCATCAAAAAAAGTATTATATGAAACAATTTCACAAGATTAAACAATTTAATGAAAAAATTTCATAAGATTAAACAATGAAATCGACAGATGAAGGTGGTTTGCATGGTTTACACAAATGATGGCGGTTTTCATATGATCACTTCTCTCTCTCTCTCTCTCTATATATATATATATATATAAAGAGAGAGAGAGAGAGAGAGAGATAGACTTTATTTTAAAAACTTGTTAATTCATAAGATCTGTAAAAATCAATTTAGACCAAAGAATTAGTTAAAATTAAAATCTAATTTAATTTAAAAAGAAAGAGTCTCTCCTTTCCTTTTTCTCATCTCTCTAATAATTTTTACTTCTTGATAAATTATATTTATATTAATTTTAGGTTTAAGTTTAAGTCAATTTGAAGCAGTATATATTCCAACTTATTTAAAATGCATATGTATGAATTTTTTTTATAATGTAAACTTTATTAACAGAAATTGATTTATATAATAAAATAATTTAATCCAATTAATAAAAATTATTAAAATAGTATGAAATTTTATTAGTAGATTTAATAGATATAAAAAAGTAATATTAAAAAATTAAGTTAAAAACAAAAATAAGAGTAAATTGCATTGTTTTACTTCTAGTTTGTTAAAATTATGACTTTCATACCTGAGATTTCAAAGTTATGGTTTTTGTCTTTGTGGTTTGTATTTTAATACTATTTTCGTCCATACGGCTAACTTCTATCTTTAAGTATAAAAGATGGAAACAAACTATAAGGACGAAAACAACAATTAATTGTAAATCACAAAAACAAAACAACAATTAAATAATAAATTATAAGAACAAAAATAACAATAAATTGTAAACCGGAAGAACAAAAACAACAATACATTGTAAATCATAAGAACAAAAACAATAATGAATTATAAACTATAGAGAAAAATAATAATTTCAAATATAAAAAAAATAACAATTTTTAACAAACCAAAAACTATAGGGACAAAAACCATAATTTACTCTAAAATTAATATAAAAAATTCAATGTTACTATACGGGAAAAAATAATTTACACCAAATTTCATGAATTTTGTTATAAAATTTGATATTAGATAGGAATGTTAGCAACATAATTTATTTTTATTTTTTTTGACAAGAAAATTGAAGACTAAATTAAGATTTTTGTCCTTGTGATTTATTGAAAATCGGTGTTTTTGTCTTTATGGTTTTGAAATTACAATTTACAATTTATTATTGTTTTTTAACTTACGTTTTGAACAAAATTCGTTCCTATAATTTTATAATTCCTTACTATTTTAGTCCCTCAAACTAAATGTAGAAGTTACCTCATAAACAGAAAAAGCAAACGAGTTGCAAATAATTGAGAGTTTCAAAACCAAAGGGACAGAATCTGCAATTTTTAACAAACCACAGGGACGAAAAACGTAATATACTCAAAGTAAAATGATGAAAGAAATACACGGAAATAGATATATGTACATGCGTCCTGACAGATAACACGACAAAAACAATAAGATGATTAATATTACATTATGATTATTTAAATAATTATAAACATTTTCTCTTAATATTAATAAAAAAAAGTTTATTTAATTTTATCTTCAAACTAGGCAAGGTATTTGTAATTGTTTATTTGAAATAACTTATATTTTTTTATAAAAATAATTTATTATAAATTAAAATGGTTTAACTTCTTCAAAAACATCTTATTATCAATTTGACATCAGTATAAATTGTTTATTCAAACACTAAAAAATATTTATTATCAGTTTTTACACCGAAATAAGTTAATAAGTTGTTTTTTATAAACAATACCAAAAACCCTCTTCATAATCACATTCACTGGTACCAAAAGTAATTACATTACATTAATAAAAACATTTAACAAATCTAAAATACTCTTATAACTAATGATTATATTTTCTTTTACAATCAACACAGCTTCATTTTAAAAAAATTGATTTCTGGTGACATCATAAACTAGATGGAAAGGTTACATGGTGATGTTTTGTAATTAAAAAGAAAAAGAAAAAGAAACTAATTAAGGGTTATAGAAATGACCCCCACATCTGCATTTCCACCCAAGTGGCTTGTAATTTGAGTACCTGTTTCCCAATGAAGAAGGAGTTGGCTGTCGATCGTAGTACTCCATCGCCGCCGCCGTCCCTGGCGGCCGGACTCCCGGCACCGTCGGCACCTGCACCGCCATGCATGGGTGGCAGAGATTGCACTTGTTGTGACAGCTTGGCGGCGTCGAACCCAGTCTGGTTTTCTCTTCATATAATGAACCCTGAAACAAAATAATTGACTATAGATATATTAGTTTGGTGAAATATATATATATATATATATATATATAAATTGAGATGAAATAATTTAAGGTATTGATTGATATATATATATATATATTTATGTATATATATATATATATATATATTTGTTTAGAAAATACAGACCCGGATTTGAGTGGTTTGAAAAAGGAAGGAATTTGAGGTGAAAGAGAGGAAATGAAGGGTGATTAGAAGGAGGGAGAGAATGATTGGGGATGAATTCATGGCGATGGAAGCATTTTATAAGGGGCGGCGTCGTCGGCCGGCTGGATTATTCAATCTATCCACCATAAACTGGGCATTACAACACACCCCACACCCATTTCTCTCTCTATCCAACCTTTTCTATATATCCAACTATTTGAGAGAGAGAGTGTGTGTGAAAAGAACAATACAGTTTTAGATTGTTAGTTTTACCTCGGGTTAATTCATGTATTGAGAATATAAAAAGTGAATTTTAATGTTAATATATATGAGAAAAAAATCATTAGTCAAGGATGTATTTAACAATTTAGAGGATATATTAGTCTACCCAAAAAAATAAAAATTATATTAAAAACTTTTAGTTTAGCAGTATATGAACTTTTGGTCCAGGAGATCAGGAGTCGAACCTCATCAAATATAAAAAGGATAAGTAGGTTTATTTGTTTTATTTGTCATATATATTTTACAAACCAACTGATAAGTTAATTTTAGCTTTAAAAAATAGTTCTTAGTTGATAAATTAATAATATTTAATAAGAGTGGTTAGTTTCATATAAAAATATTAAACCAATAAAGATTAAAAATTGATGAAATAATATTTTGAGAAATAAATGTTTTAAAAAAGAATTAATTAGTAAATAGTTGCATTAACCTTGACTTTTAATATATATTTTAGTAATTAATAAAGATATAAAGAGGTGTGTGTATGTAAAATAAGTATGGATGGGTTGGTGTATGTGTGGGTGTAGGTGCAGGTGTAGGTGTAGGTGTAGGTATAGGTATAGGTGTAGGTGTATAGATAGAGATACAGTGCATTCATGTCAGCATAGACATCATAATGAACCAAATGAGATTGACTTTCTGTTCCACCCCTCCCCCCTCTCTCCCCTTCCTCTTGTTATAATAATATAGTATTCATTTATTGAAATTTGAAAATTAAGTTTTAAAGTTAACATATGTGTGGAGAAAATTAATAACTATTGGTGAATTAATAATAACAGAGAAAATTAGGTGATGTTTTTATTGTTGTTGAATGATTTTGGTGTTGAATGATTAAAAAGCTTTTATGATATAATACAAAATAAAATATAATTATTTGGTATTTGTTTATAATGAAATTAAAACGTTGAATGGTTAAGGGAGACCTATGATACAAAATTATTAAGAGGGTTTTAGAACCATTAAGAGGGAGATTTTTTTTACCAAACAAGATTCACTTTTAAACAATTCAGATTTTGCCTCTTAATGAAACTATTAAGAGATAAACAAACAACCTCTTAATAAATATCGTTAAGTTAAATCAATTCTATTTTGTGATTGAGATCGACTCGCCCTAGAAAATTATTAAGCTTGAGTTCGAATGGCTCGTTAAAAACTCGAATTGTTTACATTTTAAATGCAAAGTTTTTATTAACAAAAAGTATAACGGTTTGTAATCTGAGAGGTTCTTATAAAAACCTTATGCCCTCTAAGTATTTTAACATATACATTGGTTCTTAACACATGAAGTCTATTAAGTGACATTGGTTTTTAACATGAAGTGTGGAGTGATATTTTTTTTTTTGTGATTATTAATATATAATAATTAGTGGTGTTGTTTTTTCGAAGAATTATAATCGTAGACTTTTATAAAAGTTCTTAATTTAATGAGTTGAAGATAAATTGATAACAAAAAATATAAAAAAGAAGTTTTTATAAAAACCTTCGTTAGAGATGTTCTATTAAAGAGCATCTCCAATGAAAAATTTATAATAAAAAATATAGTGTTTTATAAAAACTACCATGGAGACCGTTCACATCTTTTGAGTTTTTTTTTTTACAAGAACCTTTTAACTTAGTTTAGTTTTTTAAACTACATATTTAATGCTTATTATAAATATACGAATAAAATACATGGACCTATTATTACTGTTGTGAATTTTTATATAAGGGGTTGTTTGTTTACTTTTTAATAGTTTCATTAAGAGGCAGCTTCTGAATTGTTAAGAGGTAAATTTTGTTTGGCAAGAAAAAAATCTGTTTCTTAATGGTTCTAAAACTCTCTGAATGATTTTGTATCATGGGCCTCCTTTAACCATTCAACGTCTTAATTTCATTGTAAACAATTAACAGACAATTATATTTCATTTTGCATTATATCATAAGAGTCTCTTAATCATTCTGACCATTTAATCATTTTGTATCAAACCATTCAGCAACTGACAAAGAGCCCCTAAGTTCTTAATTTGATGAATAACTTAAGAGGTACAAAAAGTAGGTTTAATGTCATCTCCAATTCAACCACTAAAAATAACACTAAAAACGGTCGGTTTATTAAACACTAAAAAAATCAACTTCAATCACATGCTAAAAAAACACTAAAAGTCATTTTTAATATTATAATAATAATAATAATAATAAACATCTCAATATATTAAACTTTCAATCAATATTTATATATAATTATAACAACTTAATATTATATTAATATATATTTATAGAGGCCAAATTTATTGACCTCTAAATATAGAGACCAACATTTTTAACATCTATCTTTTTAGTGTTTTAATGTTGGCATAGAGATGAAAACATCTTCAACTTTTGCGTTTTTAATGTTGAGTTGGAGATGGTGTGAGAACTTGCATTAGAAATGCTCTAACCTACATAAAAGTCCATAATGGTAGATCTTTTAAGAACCACTTTTGTGGGTCTTATGTTTTTTTTTTCAACATCAATAAATATTAACAATTATAAAGACAAGAAAATACATTAAAAAACTAGCAAAATGTCACTTCACATCAGGTTGAAAATAAAAACCAAGATTCTCGTAAAATAGCTCAAAAGAATGTAAGGTTTTTATAAAAACTTTCTCCATCGATAGTTGTTATGAGTACATCTCCAATAAAGATTCTAATTAGAACCTCATTTTTGTACTTTTTGTTGCAACATTACTTCCAAGTCATAAAATTAAGTATTCAAGTAAAAGTCTATATATATATATATATATAGTTTGTTTTGGTGAGTTAATATACATATTTTATTTGGATAATATAAAGTATTTGAAATTGTTGTAAAATATCTGATAATATGTTTATTTTAAGTGCATATTGAAAATCCATTGTAGTGGATGATCGTCAAAGATCACATAGAATCAATTAGTCTTAACAGTTCATTAATTTTAATGAAAAATATTGTATATGTCTTTCTCGAAAAAAATGAAAAAAACTCGCTATAGAGGGTTGAGGAAAATACCCCACCACCACAATTTAAGTGAAAATAAATTAAGAATATTGTATTTTTTCTTTATTCTTTTTTTAAAATTAAGAAAACAGAAGAATTATTTTTTTAGATATCTTAGAAGATTAAGATTGAAATCTCGTCTATTTTACATGGAATACATTAAGGAATCAAGAATCACATTGAAATACAAAAATTAAGTTAAATATTTATGTAATATTGTTATTATATGTAGTATAAAATTATGTTTATGTTTAAATTATTATTTGAATATGTTCTTAAAATATATTAATTAAAAATTAAATTAATACGGAAAAATGTAAAATTAATAATATTTTGGATTTGCTATAAATATTTTCTATGTATATACTAAATAAAAAAATTATATATTTTTTTGTAAAAAATAGAAGACCCCCGAAAAAAAAGACGTGTGTAAAAATAAAAATTGAAGATATTTCAATAGCAAAAGAAGCAAGAGAAATAAATTATTCACACCTTAAACGTCTGGATTTAGCGTTATTGTCAAGCATCTCATTCACTACTAAAAGAAAGGTATGGATATTCTGCTCGAAAGCTTGATGAAGAAGCGTAAGCAAAAAAACATATTTTAGGAAAGAGGTCGAGGTAGCTCAGCTGGTTATAGCTAATGAATGAAAAAAAAACGTGTGTACCGATTTAGATTTCCCGTCTTATACCCCCAGACGAGGTTCTTGCTAAGTTTCCTTGAGTTCTTGTTTTTTAAGGTGACAATAATGTGTCAGAAAACATTGAAATGATTAGGTTTTTATTTAACATCTTTAATGCAAGGTATTTATTAAAAAAAAGTGAACTAACTTAGAAAAAAGTATTATTATGGAGAGTTTTTATAACAACCTTACTCCTTTAGAGTTCTTATACAATAACATTGGTTCTTACCATAAAATTTGTGTGAAGTGACTATTTTTTAGTTTTTTTTATATTTTATTTACTTTATGATAGTCATTGATGTTGAAAAAATAATGGGACCTACAAAAAGAAGGTTTTTAAGAAATTATCATTGTGAAGTTTTACGTAAAATTTTAATTTGATCAATTGAAAATAAGATGACAACAAAAAAATACAAAATAGAGGTCTTCTATTATTCGAGATGTTTTAAAAACATATGTTGTGAATGCTGTTTAATAATTATAGAAATTATCCATCTAATAATATTTAATATTATAATCTCAAAAATTAAAAAGTTAATTATATTTAATATTATAATCTGAAAAATTAAAAGGTTTGGAGTTGAATTGAAGATTGTCTATATGCAATATCCATTTTACCATGTGCACTACTCATGCTCATGCGAGAGGATAAAGCAGACGTGATAGTTTCTTTTGTGAGAACGGACAACATTTAAGATGATTAGAACATATTCCTCTCACGTTTATAATAAAAAAAAATATTTAACTGATGTTTATTTTTTTAAAGATGTTAAAATCTAAAGTTTGATTTTACTTCTCATATATAAGAGATGGTTCTAAAGTCTGAAATCTGGATTAGTAAAATTGTTTGTTTTTACGTCTGAAGTCTGAAATCTGAATCGATCAAACTATTGCAAAAATATAAAAGATAAACAGTTTTTTTTTTATTTATAGATAAGTAGTTTTTGCTAAAAGATCTTTTCTAGCCTCCAAAATATGAATCATCTGATAGAGGACGGATTAAGATGAAGAGGTATTAAGGAATACATTTACCACTTAAAATTTCAGATGACATTTAGAGCTTTTAAGCTCTTATTTTAAAAACTAGAAGGGTACTCGCGCAATGCAACGAGATACATCTTGATTTTAAAA